AAAAAAAAAAAAAGAAAAAACATACCCCTGTGCATTAGTACTGCTCGTTTGATTCAAATGTCCATATTCGATGTTGTATTGCCTGCATGTTCCACGATGACGTTTCAAACTTCGGCTTGAACTGACCGTTTTGTTACACGCTTCACAGCGATATACCTGCTGCGTCGATCTAGCAGCATTTGCCTAAAACAAACGATTTAAAAGTAGGAAGGGCAGTACGGGCCGTAGAGACCTTGCAGGATCATTTCAATACAAACCATAAAGAGTCCGTCCAGAGGACTGCAAACACCGGCCAATATAATCAGAGGTGAAAAAGGGCAGTACGGGGCGTAGAGGCCCTACGAGGAACATATCAATACAAACTATGAACAGCCCGTTCGGAGGACTACAAACACCGGTCAATACAGTGAGGGGTGAAATAGGAAGGGCAGAACGGGTTGTAGAAGTCCTACGAGAAACATATCAATACAAACTATGAACAGCCCGTCTAGAGGACTGGAAACACCGGCCAATACAACTCAAATTCATGGAAAAAACATTTATGAAAACTGTTTATGAAAAATTCAATTGATCCTCGTGAATTTTTAGCTATGGAAAATTTACCGGTTGTTTGATCTGCTCTGGTTGGTGCTGCTGCGGCTGATGTTGCAGCGGCGGCTGCTGTGGCTGCTGCTGTTGCTGTTGGTTCATGATGAGAACACCGGCTACAGCTGCTGAGGGTGGTTCTTCGTTCAGCGGCGACAGAAATTCGGCCGTAAAACTTTCCTCCATTGGGCCCACATGAAGTGGTATCGATGAAAGAGTATGGTCATCATCATCCAGCAAACTCGTTGCTAACCTGAAATTAATTTCGATCAAATGAGATCGATTATTATTACAGCGATAATTTATCGTGATTCTACGACTGAAGTCAATAATTTGAAATAGTAAATTGTGGCGGTTAGAAGGCCGAATCGTAATCTCTTAAATGAAGTCGAATCGTAATCTCTTAAATGAAGTGGACGGTTTAAAGAAATCAAAATGTGGAACGAATTTATGTCCAAAAATCAATCACGTAACGATTTTTTTCAATTACTTAAATAAGTG